ATGTCACCCAATGATAAAAGCAGCCCTGAAACGCTTTCTTTAAAAAAAATGTGTCCTCTGAGAACATTGAGGTTTTGCCTCTATACTCTGGTTAGGTGAGTGACTTCACTTTGTCCCCCTTTATCCTATGGTTCCTCAGCTAGAGGAGTAGTCAGCAGGTGGGACAGTGAGTCACACTCTAAAATGGCTCTGTCAGCCCTGTGCCATAGGGCTGTCAGGAGCCTGGGACTTCTACAGGAGGCTTTAGAGAGGGAAGGAGGAGATGGGGTCAGATGGCACATTCATAGACTTTCAGAGTTTGGAGGGACCTTATCACCTAGAAATATGAATGTAGATCTCTTTGGCAAATCAAAATTGTATTTTAAAGCTGTTCTGTATTTGAAATGGTATGGTGAGTTTTCTTGTGAAGAGTCATCACTCATGTTAAGTTGTTGGGGGGTTGTACACTGGGAGTGTGGGTATGAAGTAGGATGGGACCAACAATAGGACCCAGAAATTGGAAAAAAAAGATAATATTCTTATTAAAATGAGTTGGTCTCCACATATTACCATTGTTCTTCAGCTCCACAAAGGGCCATGCAAGGGAAGGTGGGCTCATTATGGCAGGGGGAGGCCAGTCATCATGAGGGTAGATGTTCTGAAGCTCAAGGAGCTAGAGAACCACCCCTGGTCACTTGACAAGCTTTCCCCAAAGTGGAACCTGCTTCTGTGGGAATAAAATTTAAAATTAAGGTGAGTCATGTGTCCCTGCAGGTTTCAGACAGCCTATCCTCTCTTGAGGACTCTGATAGAGAGGTTAAGTGACCTCAGGGACTCCAGATGCCTAAGTGAGGACAGGAAAAGGAAAGGTTGCTAGGGATGCAGCAGGAGATGTCCCAGGAGACATTTGTAGTTTCTGGACCAGAATGGGATTGAGGAGGTAATGGGAATAGAAGCTTTGGGTTGATACCAGTGGTCTATAATGAAGGATGTTTTAGAAGAGAGAGCAGAGATGGCTTAGCACTGAAGTTCTGAATCCAAGATATCAGGAACACTTAGGGGAGATTTTGAAAAACACAAACTCCTTCTCCCACCCCGTGCCCCTACAGGGATACAAAATAGACTTTCCAGGAGAAGGTAGATGCTGCAGGGTTCCAAAGATGGAGTGAAGGCAAAGGGTATAGGTCTGTGATATGATTTCTGCACCCCATGACCTGGTTTGGTACTTTCCTGTGTTACTCCTACATTAGAAAGACAGCCTCACTGCTGTCCCTTTGTTCATGGACTGTTAGGATCTTGCTGACCTGGGTGGGGCTGGCTTATCCATCTGCCAGCTTCCAGGTCAGAACCAGCCCTAGTTACTTGATAGGGCTTTCCCCAGAGCAGAACACTGCTTCTGTGGGAATAAAATTTAAAATTTAAAATTAAAAGTTAGCTGGACATGGTGATACATAACTGTAGTCTCAGCTACTTGGGGGGCTGAGGTGGGCAGATTGCTTGAGCCCAAGAGTTGGAGGCTGCACTGAGCTGTGATCATGCCACTGCACTCCAGCCTGAGTGACAGAGCAAGAGCCTATCTCAAAATAAATAAATAAATAAATAAATAAATAAATAAATAAATAAATAAAAATAAAACTTAAATATGGCCAAGTAAGTTTGAAAATTAGTGGATTAAATATGGTCAACCATTTGGGTTTTTTAACCAACTCCTCAGAGCCTTTAACATACCAGCATACGTTGTGAATCTCTTAAAAGAGGGAATATGCAGTATTTCTCAAACTAATTTGATTTGGGGGTCGTTTTTTTCTTGAGGAGCATTTCATCAGATCAATGTTGCACAGAGCACACCCAGGAAGAAGTTTCACTATACTGGCATCTGTCTCTTTTTAAAAAAATAACAACTCAAAGTTAGATAGCCCTTACTCACTTATTCCTAAATTCCTGACTTTTGAGTTGGGTAAGACTACACACTTTTCCTACTCTGGAACTCCAAAGGCAGGCAGTGTTATGTCGTGGTCTTCTTAAGGCAGTCTTACGGGCAGTGCCAGCGATTCTTTGCTGTTAATAATTCCCATTGAATTGATACCCTCACATTTCCCTATATTGATCTCCCATGTCTCCCTGCAGCAGATGTTCCTAGAATACCCCTTCCCCTTGACAGAGAGGTAGACAAGGGCAAGTCAACAGGGGCGCCTCTGAGCCCAGAACGTTCCCTTGGTGACCTGGTCTGAGGGTCAGTGTGGCTGGATTGACAAATAGTAGCTGTTGACTCCCTGGTTTGGAGTTGGTTTTCTATAGGAGAAGCAACTGTTGGAGTCAGCTGCCTGAGGAATATACTTCTAGGCTGGGGTGGGGAAATGAACTTGAAGACAAGGAACTGGCTAAGTCTTAATTTGGGTAAGAAGGTTCAGTGGCGCTCACTTGGATCTCAGTTTTACACCTTATTTTCCATGCTTATTCTCTTCCTCCGCCTGCCCCAACCTGTCCATCACCACTCAACTCTCTTCCTCCTTCATCCTTCTTTTGGGTTCTCTTTCCCTCTCCACTGTTCTTCTAAGAAGACTGGCTCTCCTTCCTCCTCCCCCATCCCAATCTCTACTTCTCTTCACATCCCCTCTGTACCCCCAGCCTGGCAGCCTGCCCTGTAGGAATGTTAATTAGCATCCACGATTTAATTAATTCAGTAGCTAATTAATGATTGGGGGCTGGGGAGCTGGGGTGCAGGGGGTTGGGAGCTGGAGGTGACAGGGAGAAATGGCAGAGGCTGCAGAAGGCATCGCAGATGGCTGTGCGGTGGCTGGCACAGTGCCCACCGCCATGGATGCAAACACACTTGCGCGCACGCACATGTATACACACACACACACAAAAAGGAAAGGGTGATCGAGGAATCAAAAGCAAGCAGGGAAGGGCACAGGGGCCCTGGGAACTGGGGCTGTGGGGCTGGGGGTGGGGAAGGCTCTAGATCTATTTGAATCTGCTCCGGAAGTAGAAGAAGAGAAAAAAAAGAAACAACCACAGGCGCAGAGAGGAGAGCTCTCCCGATACCCACCTCACCCCACCCCCACCCCACCCCAGCCACCCCTCCTCCCTGGCATGGGATTCATGGGCACCAGCTGAGGACGGGGTCCCCTCCCTCTGCCTGCCATAAATATTGGTACCGAGGACCCAGACTCAGAAGGATAGGACATTCCCAAAGAAAAGAGTTTTTATTTTAAGTTGCTCTAAAATATATATGTGTGTGTGTGTGTGTGTGTATATGCATATATGCATGTATGTATATATGTATATATGAATATATATATATATTTTTTAAATTGCACCCGTTCTGGTGTGAGGGCGAAGGCGAGTGAAAGAAGGTGACTGAGCCAGGAGGAGAGCACAGATGGCTTGGTGGTGGTATGGTGTGGTGAGTTGTGGGAAGGAAAAGAGGGGGGTCTGGGAGAGGTTGGGGGTGGGCGGAATGAGGACCCTGTTTTCCTCTTTTCGTTTTGCTGTGGGTGAAGGAGAGAGAGAGAAAGAGGGAAAGTGGGTGGGGAGAGAAGCGAGACAGATGGCAGAGTGGAGAGGCGGCAGCCAGTGCCGGCACTGCCCAGCCTGGGCGGACCCAGCTCCCTCCGCCTGCCAGTTCTCCAAATGCCACCCTTCCCCCATCCTCCCCTCTCCCCATCCCCCCAGCTTGGCACTGATCTCGGGGAGAGAGAGGGAGGGAGGCTGGGCAAAGAGCATCTGTTCCCTCCATTCTCCCAGCTCCATCGGCTGCCAACCTAGGGCCATCGTCTGCCTCCATCACCCCTCCGCCCGCCCGCCTACCCACCCAATCCCAAATGGGTGCTGGATCAGGTGCTGAATCTGGCTGCCTCCTCGGGTACCAGTCACTGTGCATTGCTGTGTGTCTGCCACCGCTGCCTGGCACTCATGGGGCCGTGTGTGTGTGTATGTGTATGTGCGCACTTGTACGTGTACGCATAAGCGTGTGCTGTATGTGAGCCTCCTGGGCATGGGTGGGGGTTGGCATTGCGGTTGCCAATCTAGTGTCCAACCAGAAGGACAGAGGGATGGAGTGGAAGAAGGAGGGGAGAGGCTTGGGGTCTGGGAGGGGAGAAGCGGGGGCACGAGTTGCTTCATGCTGCCTGCTTACAGGCATTGGCATTGCAGCTGCCACCCTTGTGCCCACGGAGATGGGAGGAGGCGAGTGGAGGGCGCAGCAGCAGGAGTCCTGTGCTCTGGGAGGAAGGCTTTGTACATGGGAGCTGTTGGCATCACATCTGTCAGGCCAGTGCCCAGAACTGGGGCAATGGAGACTAGGGGATCCAGGAAGCAGGGAGAAGGGGCAGGAATGTGTTTCTGACGTTGCTGTCCCTCTAGAAGCTCAGCTCTGAAAAATGGTTGGAGTATGAGGTGATTAGTGCTCTTCCAGCTTGAGAAAGTAAAGTGGTGGAGAGAGTAGCCAGGGAAGTGCCAAGAAACAGTCTACGAGCCAGGGAGGAGGGATTGTGCCACCGTACCCAGGGAGAACTTGTTGGGGCTGGCAATCTGGCTCTTTGTCAGAGTATTGAAGGAGACAGCAAGGGGACCAGATGTGAGGTGGGTGGGTACTGGCACTGCCCATGGCACCTGGCACAGGCTCTGGCATTGTGTGGAACAGGGGAGGGCGACAGTGCCTCTTGCCAATCTGGTTGAGAGGGCAATGGTGCCAGGAGTGAGAAGGAAGGAGGTGAAACATTTCGGGAGGTGGGGTGTTTGGGAGACCAGACTTTTTTCCTGCCAGGTCCTCCTTCCCCTTCCCTCTTAGGCATGGGGAGTGGAGCAACAGACGGAGAGTGGCATGAGGACACAAAGGAGGAAGCACACCATTGCCAAGACCTCAAGGAAGAAGGATGGAAAGCGCTGGCAGTCCTGCCTGGCCCCCAGCCAGTTCCCTGCTGAAGATGGCCAAATCCCCTTGCCTGGTCTGTATATGCGACTTTTGCTGGGGTGGAAGGAGGGAAGGGCTGACTTGCTGAGCTGGGCTCTAGAATGGGAAGGGTACCTTTCTGCAGATCCCATTTGGACTCTCCACTTGAACAAGTGAGGTGTCTGATTTTCCTCTTTGGTACCTTCCTCTCCTCCCCCTCCCTTCGCCTCATCCCCATTTCATCTTTCATCACCACCTGGGTCCTACTGCTTGGCACCCAACCAACTGGATGCCGCCACGTTTGGCAGTGCTGCACTGGCACGTGAACAGTGTCTCAGATCCTGGCACTGCGGCAAACCCAAAGCCACCAAACATGCTCATGATGGCACTTGGTGGCAGTCAGGGAGAGGGGGCTGTGCACATAGCGGTGCCAGGCATTGGGTGGAGCTCTGTGTAGGGAACTGGCATGAGAGGATGCCCTTAACAACTGGGCTGAGTCAGCACTCCCTCGTCAATCTCAGCTCTGCCTTCCTCCCAACTAGATATCCACCTCCCTCCTACCGTTACTGCCCCCAAGAAAGGGATTTAGATGGTATCATACTGAGTGTTTGAGCACCATGCGAAAGGAAACGAGCACAGAGGGACAGGCTATAGCACAGGCTGTAGACACACCCAAGGCTCCAGGCCAGTAGACCATACATATCCTTGGACAACAAGAACAGAAAAATAAAACCCTAGGAGGGCTAAAGGAGGTGGAGAGAGGGACACCAGCTGTGTTGTTACCAGGATGGCACAAGAAGAGATTGGAAGGCAAGTAGGAAGGAATGACCCTCAGACTTTGCTCTTGGGTGATGGGGTGGTTTGTACCTATGCATATTTCATTCTGCCTTGTACCTTGTGATTTGCTGAGCTGTGGTTGAGATGAACTGGTTCTTTCTCCCTTGTTAAAAGGTCCATATTCAATAATAGTCCTAGGAAGATGGAAAGGTGCTCTAGGCCTAGAGAGGTAGACAGGTGTTAGGAAGACAAAGGGACTTGTCCTTCCAGAAAGACTATGCAAGGCACCCAGTTAGAGTTGGATAGATTTCCATATCTTTGAAATCCACCCCAAGAAGGGAGATGGGATCAGCAATGATCCCTGGTAGAGGGGGAGGCCCCTAGGAGGAGAATCCCCAGCAACTGTGGTGATACAGACTAGCCCTCACATAACTAGACCTTGGGCCCCCAATCTGAAAGAATTTCAAGTAGCTTTGGCTTTCCTAATGACTGGGCAGATCTTCAGATCTGGAAGATTTGACTGTGGGTGATGTGGAAGGGAGGCTGGGTGGCTCTGGGAGATAGGACCTGCCCAGAGGTAGGAGTAAAGTCCATGCTGGGCTGAGCTGCTCAGGGCTGGGGAAGTTCTGATTTCAGCATCTCTGGAAGTGTATGGCCACTTCAGAAGAAGCAAGGTGTTTTCCACAGCAGAGAAGAAAGCAGGGAGACACTCAGCCAAAGTGGTGAGTGGACAATGTTTATATCTTTTCTCCTGTTCAAGAACAGCCAACGTAAGCAGAAGACCATGGTCAATTTCCAGTATGTTGGCGGTGGGGGTGGGGGTGATGTCAGAGTGATGAAGTCGACAAATCTGAGGTTATGATAAGCCCTGGTGTGGTAGCTCCTAGGGTAGCAGGGTTGGTCCCTGGGTGCTGAAAAGATGGGGGCAGGTCACAGATATGGTGCTAAGCTCTCTAGGTCAGTGGTTCTCAAACTTCAGAGGGCATAGAATCTCTTCAGGAGTTTCTGATTCAGTTAGTCTTAGGTGTGGTCCGGGAATATGCACTTTACATAAGCACTCATATTGCAAGTGGACACTTGAAACATTGAGAAACACTGTTCTGAGAGATGGCAGTCACCTTTAGGGTGGTTGATCCAATCAGGGTTTCCCTTGCCTTTTGCATCTGTCTTCCCCAAACTTACTCATGTCTTTATGCCGACATGTTTGGGGATATGTGTGTTGTGGGGTGTGTGTATGCATTTTGAGTGGGAGCAGTAGGAGGAAAAGGAAAGATTGTGAGGTTGAATCCAGCAAATGTAACTTGTTAGAACAATGATCCTCATTGGCAGTAGTTACCACAGAAGAATCCTTTAGGGAACACTTTCAAAATTCACTCTTCCTTCACCCCCCAGATTCTGATGACTGGCTGCCCGTGGGTTTCTGAAACCTCATCATTGAGAATCACTAGCTTAGGAACATTGCCAAGAGATTATTCTCTGTGGTCAAGTCAAAATTGTGTAGATTATGTGGCTAGGTACAAGATGGGTCCTGGAGGCAGGCCTGGGTTCTGGGTAATGGAAGTAGGGATCCACAGAGTACAACTCAGCCTACTGCTGATACTCAGCAAATGGCAGAGGATGCTGTTGTTTGAGCACTTGGTGGAGACATCTGGAAATGAGCACCGCATGGGTCATTCTTCATGTCCAATTGAGAAGACTTAGTGCAGGGTTTGGTATGAGGGAGGACTTGTAGATATGGGACAGTGCTGAGCCCCTGCTGATTACTGGTTGCAATGTCTTAGCCATTGTTTGTGTAAGAATATGTGTGTAGTTGGGTGGGATTATGAGTCAACCTCGGGTGCTGCATCACCTTTCCCCCTCTTCTTGGACAGGTTCAGCTTGCTCTGGTCTACCTATACTCAACCTGCTTCCCCATTAGCTTCTGGCCAGACTTCTTTCCATGGCTGTGGAATTGCAAGAAATACCATACTCAGACTACTGACAGAGAATAATGACATTTACCCCTTGTCTGTGCTTTGTGTGAGGGCTGTCTGGGTCCTGTATATCAAGGAGCATCACTGGGTGGTCACACAATTGCAATTTTATGTTCTTCCCATAACGTGTAGTTTCTCTCAAGAGGAATTGCCTTCATGATTACTTACTATCTTTCCCCAAACTTGGTGGGCCATGGTCTAGGTCTTCTGCAAATGTCCTCTCTCAAATTTGCCTTCGTCTGATCTTTTTATAATGTATCTGAGCTATAATCCTGTAGACCCTGAGGCTGGGTCTATGGACTTGTAGCAAGAGCTTTCTCAGTATAAAGGCATTTCTTCCCAACTCAGTCTTCTAGAAATGACGCTTTCATGGCTTATAAGTTTCTGACTGGTTGCTTCTGAGAGAAATGGTCCCCCAATACCTGGCCATTCACCAAAGTTTACCCTGTGTTTCATGGTGATATCACATGAGTTTTCCCAAAAGTTTCCTCCTAATTTGCCTCCTACATATCTCTTCCCTGATGTCCAGAATAATTTAAGGTCCTCTCCCCCTAGGGTTTTTTGTTTGCTTTTTGTGACTGTGAGGAGGGGAGCAGACCCCCCAACCATGTGCGTGCCCTCGCTGCTGCCATCCCCCCGTCACCTCTTGACTGCCAGCAACGGCTGGGTATGGGCCCAGTGCCCATCCATTTTCAGGGCTAGTTGATTTGGCGGGTGAGTTGTTACACACTCCTTAGCAGATCCTCTCCCCATATGTTAATACTCAACATTTGGTCACTTTTCCTCTTACTGGTTACTTTTTCCTCTCACTTTCTGTGTTTATAAGTTTTTTCTACCTACTTTTGTGTGAGGAAAATTAGCATGTGTTGGAGGGTGTTTCTGCTTATGGGAGTATAGGTCATAGGTCTTGGGGTATGTCCCTTGTACTTATACATATGCCCATGGGGCCCCATCCTTGCTGGCACTGGTGTGTTTCTCTGCAGCCCCCTCCGCTGGGGTCTGCTGCTGTTTCTGAGGGTGTGTTTGTTTCACTGGTATAGTTATATACATGGAGCTCTGTATTTCAGATTTACGTATCTTTCCAGGGATGAATGACTGTCTTAAGACAGATTACGGTGGGAGATTTGGAGAATCAGTGATCTGGTCTATAAGCCCTGAAAGTGGTTAAGAAACAAGTACAAAGAATTAAGCAGATGGGTGCTATTATGCCTGGAATAAAAGGCTTGCTCTTTTGCCCCCCAAATTCCAGGGTTCCAGGTAAGTACAGTTACTTAGCATCAGCTCATATGTACTGTTGGGACTGCACACGGTATTGCCAGGCCAGGGTATTGGGTGTAAAAGAACATGTTGCGTGACAAGAGGACGGGGGATTTCTGGTTACATCAACTCTTGGTGAAAACACTCATAGTTCAAACTAAAGCCAACCTACCCTGGCTGTAAATTCCTTTTTTTTTTTTTTTTTTTTTTTGAGACGGAGTCTTGCTCTGTCGCCCAGGCTGGAGTGCAGTGGCCAGATCTCAGCTCACTGCAAGCTCCGCCTCCTGGGTTCATGCCATTCTCCTGCCTCAGCCTCCCGAGTAGCTGGGACTACAGGCGCCGGCCACCTCGCCCGGCTAGTTTTTTGTATTTTTTAGTAGAGACGGGGTTTCACCGTGTTAGGCAGGATGATCTCGATCTCCTGACGTTGTGATCCACCCGTCTCGGCCTCCCAAAGTGCTGGATTACAGGCTTGAGCCACCACGCCCGGCCTGTAAATTCTTAAGATACAGGACACCACACCTCTAACCATTCCATGCCAGGTGTTTGTCGATGATTTCTTTAAAACGTTTCCTTTTTCTCGTTTTTGTTCTAAATTGTTTTTGGTTTCCAACTTTTATACACAAGTCACATTCCCAGAAAGCACAAGTGGAAAATTTTCTTTCCTCAGATACATGCTGCTAAGAAAATAGTTTTATACACAGAATTTCAACAGGAGAGAGAAAAGGACAGGGAGGGAGGAGTACCAGAGAGGCAGGGAAAGAAAGGTGGCAGTGAGCGCAAGACCCAGGTGGCCAGTTTCTCTCCTGTTGCCTAGATTTGTGACTGGCATTTTTGGTATCAGAAATTGGGGTGGAATTACAAAACTAACTCCACCTAATTTGCTGTTAGTTAGAAAACTAACTCCACCCCACCCCTAGTTTGTTAGAGTTGGAGTATTTTAGAGGTAAATGGGAGAGGAAGTGAGACTCACGGAATATATGGGGGCTACTGACTGAGCTGAATTTTCTCTCCCCTCCCATCCTGTCCACATGTAAGACACTGCTTCAGTATTAACATGTTCACAGAGTGATGTGACTGATAGAGCAGAAAACCTAAATCCCAGGGCTGGGCGAATTTGTATGAGAATATGAAATGGATAATGATAAAGCAACAGTCTGAAGGGGAGAGAGGATGGAAGGAGAACACCTTGAAAGAGAAGTGGTCTTAGGTACAAGAGTAGTAGGAAAAACTATCTGGAGGACATGGGAATTTTGCAGACTTTTCTTTGCTAAAAGAAAACATGGACTTCTCTACCCCACACTAGCTGGGCTTTAGGATTGCCAGAATGATCACCTGATGGCTATAGAAACCATTTGCTTAGGGGTAGGGAACATTCTTCTAGGTTCTGTTGGTTCCCTTGGTGATAACACCCTATCAAAGATTGACCTGTGCTTCAGTCATCTCCTTGCCCACCCCATCCCCTCAATTCCTATCAGCTCTAGACCCCCATGAGTGTCATGGACGGATCCTGACTCCCTTGGGAATGCTTCCAACAGCTGCTGCTTAATGGAGGAGCTGGGCTGGGCTGGACTGGAGGGAGCAGGAGCAAGGGCAGAGGACAAGGGGGAAGAAAAGGAGATTGGGGGGAAGGGAACAAGGGATCCAGCAAAGGTGGGCCTCTAGGGAGGGCAATAGGATTAGGAATTTGTGAAAAAAGTAAATGCAAGGAAAAGGTAGGAGATGAAAGAAAGGCAGATCTCAGATTCAGAAATTAAATACCCCCCTCACCCCTTTCTTCCTGGGACTGCCAAGATACTTTTGGTGACACTGATGACACTGACTTTTCTAACTCATAGCTGGAAATGAAGGGCTATTACCTGTCCTAATAAATACCCAATTCAGGGAACTGGGACATGTCTCTCCCCAGAGTTCAGGCTCTTCTCCCTATATTGCCAGCTCCCACCTCTGAGACTGGGCATAGCCAGGGGAAGGTTGCACTGACTTCAGTCCTTCGAGGACCACCAGACCCATAGCAAGGAACTAAAGCTGTTTGATCTTCCAAAGATGAGGTGGTTTAAAGAAACCCTTAAACCGGGGGGTAGGGGTGGGACAGGGAGTAGGGAGTGACACAAATAGGAAAAAAACACTTGTTTGATGGGAGAGTTTTCTTTTTTTTTTTCTGTATTTTCCAAGTTTATGTTTTTCTTTAGTTCATTCCTCTGGTCTCCATTTCTCTCTTTTGTGTGAGTGTGCACGCACTGTCTCTCGCTCTCGTTTTTTTGGTTGTGTTTCAGTTTTTTTTTTTTTTTTTTAAATAACTTTGGATTTGCCGTTGGTGGGCAGTGCCTGTCCCTGGAGGCTGGACCCTTATGTGGCAGGGCTAGGACAAGGGGCGGGCCCACGGCTGCTGAGAGGATCTCTGTGTTTAAAGCCTTTGAGAATAAGTTACTGCAGTTCCCAGGGTGCCGGGTAGGGATTGGCAGAGGGGTTTCTGGTGGCAGCATCCCCTAGAGTCCAGGCCGCAGGGGCTCCCCTGTCAGGCAAGAAAAGGGTTAGGAGGGAGAGGGTAGGGAGAGTGAACCAGAAGCACTTCTCCCATGCCAGCCTCCAGTTTGGTTAGAGTTTTGTGGGCTCCCTGCCCATCCCAGGCTCCAACTTTGGGAGCCAACTGAGCATTTGGAAAGAGTTTGTGAGCAGTATGGTGCTCTAGACAAAGGGTTAGGAAGGAGAAGAGGGGGTGGCAAGTTTGTTTTCCTTCCCCCTTCTTGGCCTTGGGCTTTCTTTTTCGTTTCTTCTTTTTCTTCTTTTTATCTTCTTTTTCAAAATTTTTTGGTGTTTTCTCAGTGGAACATCATGGGATAACGTGTGTGTGTGCATGTATGTGTATGCATTTATGGGGATGAGGAGCTGGGAATTCAGTGAGGAAAAGGAAGATAGAACCAAGGATATATTTTGTGTGTGGTAGGCAGACATGTATGAATAATCAGGGTGCCAAGATGGGTGTATGTGTCTGTGAAGATGGGCAAGGGCTACATCTGCAAGGAGCTGAGGATGAGGATCAGTGTGTGTGTCTGTGGGGATTGGGAGGAGGCAGGACTCTGCTGGAGGTGGGGTGTGTGGTGCCCACTGAGGGTGGGAACTGAATAGTTCCCGTGAGGTGGGCGGGGCCAGGGGGTGGGGTGAGGGATTTGAGCTCCCACCAAACACCCCTTGGGGTACAAGAGGGAACCCTGAGGCCCTCCCCTCTTCCCCATCTTGGTTTATCTGTTTATAAAGCTAGAAGTGTAGAGGTAGTAGTAGTTTTTGGGTTGGAGTCCGTGTGAGGTAATCTTGCTTCCTCTTTGGCAAAAGCCACAGCAGCCGAGGCAGCAGTGGCGGCGTTGGTGATGGAGATGGGTGGGCCCCCTTGAGGTGGGGCTGCCTTGCGCCTGTGGGCCGAGGAGCGCAGGTGGGAGGCCAGGGCTTCACGCCCACTCAGCAGCACCTCACATGCCAGGCAGTGGTAGGTGCAGATGGGCACCCGCAATGGGGGTGGCATGGAGCCCCCAGAGCCCCGCCCAAAGAAGCAGAAGGATCTCTGGTGGGCAGTAGCTGGGGCCTCCCCGTCAAATGCCATCTTGCACTGGCGGCAAAGGTAGCGATGAGTTACATCCACGGTGGAGATGCCAGTGCTGCCTGTCAGCAGCTCATCAACCTCACCAGCCTCCCCCTCCCCTGGAGTGGGCAGTTCAGGAGGCTTTGGAGGTGCTGTGACTGTGGGCTCAGGGGGCTGGGGTGGTGGCTGGAGGAGGGCATTCGGTAGCAGCCCAATGAGGGTCTGAGGTATCACGGGGTTCATGGGAAATAGCCCCTTCTTCATGCCATAGAGCTGTTGGAAGTAGGCCCCCTGTAGCTGGGGACCAAAGACAGCTGGCGGTGCTGTTCCCCCAGCAGGGGGCAATGGAAAGGGCAGGAACTGACCCCCTAACAGGGCTGGGACAGTGGTCTTCAATGCTTTGAGGTTCTTGAGGGCATCATTGGAGGAGCTGGTGGGGGCTGCAATTGGCTTTCGCTCACCGGAGACCTTGTCCCCCAAGGGCTCAGTAGGAGGGCCCGGGACAGGGTCAGTGGTGCCTGCTGTGGAGGTGTTGGTTTGGTCGGGCATGGGTCTCTGAGGTAAGGGGCGGCCTGGGCCAGCAGTCTGGACCACTGTGGTGGTAGGCAGGACCGAAGTGGCGAGGCTGAGGAGGCCTGAGGAGGCTGCTGGGCCTAGGAAGATGAAAGGAAGGATGAAGGATTAGCCATCTCCTGTCCCATCATTCTTTCTGCCATAGGCCATCTCCAGCCACACACACCCATTCCCAGCACCGGATTTCCATGCCCCTTCCCTCCCTTCTTTCCCCCAAGAGCCTGACACAAAGGAGGGCCACAGGAGATTGGACATGGGAAGAATCAGGAAGGAAAAGGAAGGGCATGTCATTAGAGGGGGATGTTCTCTGAAGTCCAGCTCCTCCCAGCCTCCCTACTCACCTGAATTGAAAGGAGCTAAGTTGCCCAGCGGGGGCTGAGCCAGAGCTGGACCAGACAAGAGGACCGGGGCCAGGCGAGGCAAGGTTGGGGCAGCCCCGAGGGGCACGGAGGCAGGTGTGGTCGCAGGTGGGGCCTTGGGAGCTGGGGGAGCCTCAGGTGCCGGGGCCAAGTCGTAGCACTTGCTTTCACTCTTCAGCTGGGCTCGGACTGCCTCCTTGAGCTTGGCCAGGTGCTGACGGGAAAAGAGATGGCCTCGGCAGGAGACATAGAAATCATACTTGACATCACAATAGGGGCAGTCAGTGCGCTGGGCTGCTAAGGGGCCCTCACTGCTGCCTCCAGTGCTCCCAGCGGCTGCCCCCTGTAGTTTGGCCTTCTTTTCCTTGGCACGAGCATTCTGGAACCAGACCTGGATGACTCTCTTGGGCAGCCCAATCTCCTCTCCCAGAACCTCACACTCCTGCATGGTAGGGGTGCGGTAAGCTTCATAGCAGGCTTTCATGATCTTC